GACCAAACTGTGCCAAGAAATATCCTTTCCTGTTTCTGTGTGTTACCTTCATTCTCCTATTTCAACAACTTTGTCACTGGAAAAATTCCCTACTCGCAACAGTGGTTTGGCTCTTCTTCCCATATTTTTGTGACTATTTACACAAACTGTTCTGATGTTACAGAAAGACAAGTCACATTTATTTAGTTTATTGGGTTACTACCTTTTGACAACCATGTCCGTGTATCTCAGTAACCAGGAAAACCAGAGTTGGTGCAGTGTGTGCAGTATCTGATGCCAAGCAGTAAGGCTACTGAATTAGTACAAGAGCTTGGGAAGAAGCAGAGTTTTTATCACTCTGTCCCTTTCCATCACAGGCAGCAAGTAGTTTTGTTCTAGGAAGAAAATTGTTGTACCTCTTGGACAGTGAACTGGGAGTCAGAAGACTCAGTTTGCAGTCCCAGCTCCAAACCACCTCACTCTTTAGTGTGGAGATACAGTAGACAGAGCACAGAAGCACAGATTCAGTGTTTGGTGACTGGTAGCTATGTGATTGGCTAGACCCTGCAGTACTAAAAGGCAAATTTCTAAAAATTTCTTCACCCATCTTTCCAACTATTCTTAGGCAAGTCTTAGCAAGCCAAATGGCAAATATTAATCATAAACTGGGAATAGTTGGAAAGATGTGACTCTATCCATCTAAAATTATATATATATCTTCAAGCAGTTTTACCACAATCTGTTAAACAATAATTTCCATAATTGCATAAACTCTAAAAGGTACATATTTTTCTGAATCGGGAATAGATGTAACTGAAGGATGAAAGGATGAACTAGGTAAGGGACCTGAGGACAGCATCAGGTATTAATATTTATTCTAAAGTCTTCTATGACTTCCTTGCTAATCTGTTTCTGGTTGCTAAGCCAATTTTAGTATCTGTGGGAAATAGTGAGAATATTTACCTTTTTATCAATATCCTCTGCTGGTCTCCTAAAAATATTAATAATCAACCTCACTAAAACAGTAAGAACTTAGAAGTGTATCAGCAGTAAAAGAAATCAAAGAAATAAAGGGAAACACTCCCAGCAACTTTGGTTGAAGAAGTTTACATTAAATTTAGAGATATTGGTCCTGAGGAGGTAGCTAGAGAAAAGAGAGATTAAATATTTGGTTTTTTCCCAATTAATTATTTGGAATCTTAACATATTTTAAAACATAAAGTAATCTCAGGCATTGCAATAAGTGTTTTTCTTGAAAGCTTCATTTATTTACATTTATCTGTAAAACAACCTCCCTTTTCATTGTGTTGGTTCCAGGGAGTGAAGTGTAATGTATGCATTACAAATATGAGGCAAAGATTCCTCCATTCCCCTTACCCACAGCCGACACAGCCAATTGACCATGGTGGTTTTGTGGGTTTTTTTTTTTGCCACTGAACAAGTAGGAATTTGGGGGCCTCAGGAATCCATTATCCATTAGCTAGTGCTGGCATGCAGGTTGGAACCCATTTCCTATCCTTGGTGCCAGAGAAAAACTTAAGTCAGCATGTCCATCCTCCCTATTTACTAGCTAAGAAATCTTAAGAAAGGCTTTTAACCTGTGCTGCTGCCCTCACAGGACTGTTACGCAATTTAAAAGATTTAATTCCCGTGAACACATTTTGTAAACCGTGCAGTTCAATCACACATTTGAAGAAATTGGCTCATTTTTTCTGGGGTGAACCACACCGTCTCTCTAGCTGATTCCCTCCCCGGCTCTCCCCATACATATTTATTTGATCCATTTTATAAATGTGGGTTATTTTTAATTTCTGATTTTATTAGAACTGTGCACACCTGCATTCCTTTTGAATGTGATGTCTGATACTAACTAGAAGAAAATGCGGCTGGAGCAGGGGAGCTCAAATTCTCCCACCTGGCTCATCATTATGGTGTTCTGGCAGTGCTTTCTGCTTGGCTGGAAGCTGTGTGATTAATAGCCCCTCTTCCCAATTATATGGATAACTCCTCTTCCTTTGGCTGTAGACAAGAAATATCTTATGTACGCACAATGCAAATGAGGGCTTTGTGAATGCTAATTTCAAAATCAGCTAGGAGTTGATTGGCAGAAAACCGAACAATGGGGTGACAGGCACGCCAGAGGTCAGGAATCTGTGAAAGAAAGGCTCAGGGAAGGTGTAGAGAAAGAGCTAGAGAGATTTGGAGTTAATCAAGAGCAGTAGCTGGAAGAGCAGCAATTTATGAAAGCAGATCTAAGCTAGGTATCCTGGAAGAGAAGGCAGCTTCAAAGACCAGTGAAAACAATGAGAAGCTCGAGAGTTTAGCTGACTTTACAAAAAGCAGGATGGAATGAACTAGCCAAGATCATGCCACAAGCTGCACAAACTGTATTTTCTGTCTGTCACATCGCTGAAAAGTGCCTATTTGCACTTGTTTTGAATCATTAGGAACCTCACGTCATTTTTTTACTGTGACATCCTCAAGGTCAGAGATCTGTCATTTGTTTCTCTAGATGCCAGCAGAGGCCAAGTGCCCAGGTAGTGTTCACTGGACTGGACTTAAGTAAACATTAGATTGTCAGGGGGGTGATTTGGGCAACACCAAAATGGGAGGATCAGAGATTGAAGACATTATTTCAACTCTTAATCATCACAGCACAGTGATCAGAATGAGTACAGGAAAATGCAGTTGGAAGGCTCCCATCTAGGTAAAGCCAAATGTTCAAGATAAGTAAGCCTCATTTTGATTTGCACTGTAAAACTAGCTAGTTAAGATTTGCTAAGTTTCTGCACAACAGATACTTTCAGCCCAATACTGATGAGACAAAAACAACTCAAAAGACAAAAAGAATACTGATCTCCAAGCAACAGCCCTGGGTACATGGTTACTAACTAAATGACTAAGGTGATGCACAGGCGGCAGGCGTTGGGGAAGAAGAACGCACCCTGGACAGAAAAAAAGGTGGAAACTGGAGATGTAAAAATACTACATCCTGGGTTAGCTCGTTCAAACAATTTCTCCCCTCATTTGAGGGGCAATGCAGACAGAATTGAGAACCAGAAGCTTAAAATACCACTTATATTTGCCCTTATGGACACTCTGTCTGTCTTCTTTGTACTATAGTCACTTTGCCTATTCAGATGGTTTTTACTTATGTAAAAATACTTTTTCTTTGGGCAATATGTGAGCCTCAACGTATGCTTCCCTCTCCAAATGTATTTTTTAGAAAATTACATGCGAGCCACAATTTTATGTGGTGTTTAATAAATCTATATATAATATACACAATATATATTATATATATATACATATACACACATTATTTTGACTAATAATCTAAAATAGTCACATATAACTATCCAGGCATATGCTCTATCTTTATTGCATTCTTGATACATAGATGGAAGCTCCCCAAAATGTTGGAGTATAGTACAAAGGGAAGTTCCAAATCAAGAAACATTTATGTGCAACCACTCTCTAATACATATATGATGATGTTTTATCTGTCCCCTAAAACTGGAAATATTTTACTTATAACATAAGAGCATGAATACTTCATCTAAATGGATTTCAAGTAATGAAATGACTACTTCCATCCCATTGAATCTAACTAATCTTTATTTCAAGATAATGAAAATGATCATTTTTAGATGTTAAAGATATTATAGAATAGTTTGTTTATTAAGAAGTGTCTCAGATAGAACATTTTGAGGGAAATCATTCAGCACCTAAACTAAGAACATAATTCAAATATTCTGGAAATAATTTATTCTGGTTTACACATATTTACAGTCCCCCCTTTCTTCTGGCCATCTTGGGATTGGCTGAGACTGTGTGACTAGTTCGGAACATCGAGGATCTCCTGTCACGGAGGAGCAGTTTTTGCCACATTTATCTTTGTTCTCTCGTGTGGCCACCCACAATGACTCAGATGGCGGCTGCTTACTGCCTTGTTTGCTTGGTAACAGTCATGGGGGAACTTCCTGCTGACTCAGAAGAATAAACCATTGTGGTTTGCAGTCCCAGAGATTTGGAAAGTGCTTCCTAGAACAGCATTCTTAGCCTATTGTGATGTATATGCATATTTAATATCATTCCCATAGTAATTAACTGAAGGAAAAGGTAAAAAGCATATCACACTTGCATTATTTGTTAACAATTTTAAGACTATGCACGTTAATTGCAGATCTACATGGAGTCTGAGGAAAGTATAGGGATTGGCACATACAGATCTGTAATAAATAAATGGAGAAATGTATAATAAAGTTGCCTTAATTTTATAAATCCCACACAATTATTTCTTTAGCTTCAGTAGAAGTTTTTCCTGAGAAATAAGTATTGCTCTTATCTTTGTCCTAGTGATGCAATATAAAATAGTGTTTTATATAACATAGGCATGTATTGTACAAATATGTTCTACAAATACATAAACAAAAAGGAGCTAGGAGAGTTCTTTATCAGTAGAATTCTGTGAAAAAGGAGGGCATGATTTTCCTAGAACTGAAATTTATAGAAAAGGGAATTGTTTTGAAAGAGAGGGAGGGATAAAGGTGATGAGTGACACTTTGGGAGAAACCTAGGAAGAAGAAGATAGGGCAAAGGAGGAGTTTGAGGACTGAAAGTACACACAGAAAGAGGCGCAGTGGGAGAGGGAGACTACCCATTGAAACCTTATAAATTTGGGTATTACAGCATGTTGGATGTGAAAACTCTCTGACCTTCCCTTCAGAGTCTTTGGAAAAGTCTACCAAAAGCCAAATGATCCAACCTTAACTGGTTGGATTTCTTATATAAAATGCTGAAGTTGCACAAATTCTGTTTAGTAATTGCTGGAAATAATCAATGCACTCAGTCTAGAGCAAGACTTAACCTCAAAATCCCTATAAAATGAAAGTTGCATTAATTAGGAAAAAGCAAATAGCCACATGTTCCCTGAATATTCCATTTGTGTGCACTGAGACTGCGCAGAAATAAAACAATTCCAGAAGCACTAAGAAGAGGGGTTGGCTGTGAACACTTACTGCGAGGACAATCTGGAGGGAACTATGAGCCACTTCTATGTATTGGTACTCCAGAAGACACCCTGAGACCGTGATGTAGCGATGGTCTTCTGGGGCCCAGTCTGGGGCAGGTGTCACTGATGTCACCGTACATCCTGGTCCATTCTCCATCCACCAAGATCGGTGCATTGAAATATTAAAAGTCAGGATAAGGTCTGTTTCCTGCAAGAAGGCAATTTATAAGGATGAGAATTACTTTATAAATGTTAGTTAGCTTATTTGGACTGGCTTGTTCTGAGGTTCCGTTTTGGAAATATGATTCCCTCTCTCCTCTTATTCTATTTTATAGGAAAAAAATCATCTAAAGTGAAACTATGAGTTCTGCCTGAAAATTATGTATCCATGGATTCTACTTATGAAGGTTTACTGACTACAACATAAATATATTTATTTGTAAAATTATCACCGAGTTACATCAATTGTAAAACTAAAGAGCTCTTACTTCTTAGGACTTGTACATAGTATAAAGGGTATAATTTATTTCCAAGTGAAGTTCATCTTATTTTAAATCTATTTTTCTTTCTCTAAGAATATTCACCTTTTGCCCATTTAAGATATTAAAGTACTGCTTCAGTTCAACAAAATTTAACATAATGTTGTGGCTAATACTAAAATTTGTAAGATCTTTACCTATTAAAACATAATGTTACTTTATTCCCCTTCCTCTTCCTATTATTTTAGCAATTTTTCCTGGGTCTTTGCAATCTTGTCCACTTGCACTATAAATTAGCCATAACATTTCTTAAGAAATATCATTAGTAAACTATTGCAGGGTGGAGAAAATAAGTCAACAACTCTTTAGCTGAAGTGCAGCATATTCATGTGCAGCTATAAATGCAACAAAAGGCATAGGTTTTCCACTTAACTTGTAATCAGATATACAAACATGAAACTATTGATAGCACATAGACAAATGTTTTCCAAGAATAAAATGGTGAAAAGAAGTGCATTGAAGTCATTCTATTAGTCAGTAAAAGTCATAAGGGAAGATGAATTCTAACAAAGAGGGTCAGTGGTAAGAAAAAAGGAATTACCTGGGTCTCAGTGACAGAGCCACAAGATAAGAGATGCCAACCACTCTCACTCCAATGAAGTGCTGGATTGACTAGGTAGATCTTGCATAGAAAATAAGTGGTGATGGAAGGGGGCTTGACTTGGGATGGTGATCATTCAATACAGTGTAAAGATGAGGTGTTTTGGAATTGTGTGCCTGAAACCTCTATAATTTTATTAACCAGTGTCACGCCAATAAATTCAATAAAAAGTAGAAGAAAGAAAAATATACCTTAAAGCAAGTTTTGTGACTTTGAACTACTCACTTACACTGAAAATGTGACAGGGTTGAGCTAAAGTGAACAGCAAATTTGAAGATTAGGAAATATAGTCTTTGGAGAGAGCTGTGCTGTGAGCCTCATCACCTCTGTAAGGTGATGGGGAGCAATAAGGGTAATTTCTCTTCCTTTCAAGCTTAAGTGGGAGAGGCTTCAAGGTATCCCTTGGAACCTGGGAGATACAGCAGGCTAGTTAGTGTCTGACTCGGGTTTGATAAGTCTCAAAATAAAGCCTGTGGCTTGAGCTACCTGCTAAGTGATCAATAACAACAAAAAAGCTCCCACACCTTTTGGTTACATTAATTGATTTTTGAATGTTGAACAAGTCTTTTATACCTGAGATAAATCCAACTGGGTGTGGTGTGTAACTCTTTTTGTTCATTGTTGGATTCATTTTTCTAATATTTTGTTGAGGATATTTGCATCTACATTCATATGAGGTATTTATTTGTAGTTTTCTTTTCTGCAATATCTTTCTCAAATTTTGCTATTATTTTAATGTTTGACTCATAGAATAGGTTAGAAAGTTTTCTATATAATTCTATCACCTGAAAGAGATTGCAGAAAATTAATATAATTTGTTTCTTAAATATTTGGTAGAATTTGCCAGTGAACCCATCTGGGCCAGGTGCTTTTTGTTTGGGAAAGTCATCAATTCAATTTCTTTAATAGATACAGCCCTATGCAAGTTGTTTCTTCTTCTGTAAGTTTTGGCAGATTGTATCTTTAAAGGAATCTGTCTATTTCCTCTAGGTTATCAATTTGTGAGTGTAGAGGTATTAATAATATTCCTTCATTATCCTTTTAATGCCCAAGGGATCTATAGTAATAATCCCTTTTTCATTTCTGATACTAGTAATTTGTGTCTTCTCCAATTTTGTTTTAGCCTGGTTAAAGGCTTATCAGTTTTATTAATATTTTCAAAGAACTAATTTTGGATTTATCGATAATTGATAATTGCTTTTCTATTTTCAATTTTGTATTTCCACCCTCATTTTTATTATTTATTTTCTTTTTCTGCTTTAGATTTAAAATGCTCTTTTCTTTCCTAGTATCTTCAGGTAGAAGGTTGGGTTATTGATTTTAGAATTTTGTTCTTTTTATGTATATGCACTCAATTCTATAAATGTCCTTCTAAACACTGCTTTCACTGAATCCTACAAAGAATAGTATGTTATATTTTTATTTTTCATTTAGTTCAAAATAAGTTTTAGTTGCTCTTGAGATTTCTTTTTTAACTCGTGTTATTCAGAAATGTGTTGCTTAATCTCCAAGTGTTTTGGGATTTTCCCTTTATCTGTCTATTATTGATTTCTTTACATATTTTTGTGGCATATTTTTCACTGTCTAAGCATACCTGTCATTATTTCTTTTTAAAGAACTGTGAGAAGTCATTCAATATTAATTTCTACATGTTCTAACACTTCAGAACCAATCAATTCTTCTGTTTGTTTGCTTGTTCTTTTGCTGGGACCTCTGACCTAGAATCGTACAGGCTTCTGCTTCCATCAGGCTCCATGCAGTTGATGCATAAAATTGGAAGTGGGACTTCACCTAACATCATTATTTGTCTCTGAGGTTGGATCCTCAGTTTCCTGAGTTGACTAAGATGACTTAACATTCCTCTTAGCTTGACTAACATGTTTTTTTTTCCTGTGTATAGGCTGCTGACTTTTTTCCTTCGAACACTTTCTTTAGAACAGTCGCAATTGAAAATTCTTTCCATGCTCCTTGGAGATGTAAATTTCTAAAATGTAGGAATGTCTTTCTCAAGGTCCTGGGAGCCACCCCTTTGAAATGTAATTATGAATGGACAGAAGCTTGCTTTTGAGAAGAGATAATTGACAAACACAGATGGCCTAATCATATTGACTAACACTCTCACCTCTCAAATGTCCTCTAGTACTTTTCCATTAGCTAACCCTGGTATTAAAAATCCTCCCAACTTTTGCTTCAGTGGACTGAAGTTTAATTTTACTCTCCTATTGCAATCGTCTTGAATAAAGTCTTGGATGAAGTTCTTGCTTGTTTAACTTGGAGTTGAGCTCAGTTCTACACTAAAATCTCTTTCTAGTAAAGAGATCTTACTGTGTAGCAGTAGTTAAAACAAAACATGTCTTGCCAATTTTAACAAGTGTTCAGTATACTTTTTTTCTTAACAGCTCTCATATCTTTCTCTTATGTGATTTGCTTGCTTGCTTCACCAACTGCATAATTCACTAGTTTCTTAAGACTAGGTGAATACTTTTAAGTCTCAAGTGTTTTCATCCTATGCTTATATTAATTGGTTGATATTTTACCTGGATATGTGCTCCTTTGTTAAAAATTATTTCCAACATAACTGAGTGGATATTTTTCAATTATCTTCTATTTTTCATTAATACAATTAAGAAATATGTTGTTTTGTTTCCTGCAACATTTTGTGTAATCTATTTTCTTACTTTTGTTTTCATGTATCATTTTGTTTTAAATAGTGATATATATCAAAAATATCAAAACTGTGGAGACATTATAAAAATATCATTATACCCACCCCACGACTCAGCCTCATTAAATCTTATGCTATATTTGCTTGCAGTCATTTTTAAATAGAATTTTATACACATAAATGACATCTTCTCTGTATTCCTATATATCATTTCCCTCTTCATGGATAATTACTATCATTATTTTCATATTATTATTCTCATGACAGTTTTTTTGTAGCTTAACTAAATATGTACATATTCATTAATAATATAAATTTTTTAGATTTCAAAATGTATATATATTCTATAATTTATTTTGCTTCCATATTAAAGTTTTGAAAATTATCTCTGCAGAAAAATCTTAATTTCTAGCTGCAGTTTCGAAATTCTGTAAGTACCTTCATGATTTTCCTTTTCCTTGTGTTTGTAGAGCACCTGGAGAGCTTTCCCTTCCAATTTCGAAAATATCTTACATCATATCTTTCATCATTCCTTCTACTATTGTTATAGGAGTTCTGTAAGGCAGACATTTGACTTCCAGACTTAATCTTTCACTTACTACTTTTCTTCCCTGTTGTTTATATTTTATAATTTTCTTAACTTTCTTGGAGATTTTCTTTACCAAGTCTTCCCAATCTTACATTAAATTAAATTTTTATTTTTTAATATTTTGAAACCTTAAGAGTTAGTTATTCTTTCTAATTGTTGCTTTTATATAGCTAACATTTTTTAATTGCTTCTTGGAAATAAGTTTTCTTAGTTCTCTGCATTATAATTGTTTTAAAATTTTGTTTCCCACATTGTTTTGGATTTACCAAAGTTATTTATTTTTACTCTATAAAAAGTAGATAAATAAATAATATTCAAAAAAATTATCAAGGGTCTACTATGTCCCAAAGTAAATGCTTCTACCCTTATGGGTGGTCATTTTAAAGTGGGGGAAATTGAGAACATATGTGTAAGAATATAAAAATATCTACGTAGTGATTCATATATAAAGAAAATAAATATGAGTAAAGGAATAGAATGACAAAAAATTGGGTGGTGGGACAAGTGTGACTTTTAGATATAATGGTAAGAAAAGATCTCTTTTATTCATTTGTATTTGAATGAGTCCAGAATAACATGATAGGAGCGAAGACAGCAAACAAGGGAAAGAGCAATCCCAACCGAGGGCACAGAGAGTGGAATGCCCTAAAGATTTTCTTTTATGTTTGTTTTGTCTCTGACCTTATTGTTGGAAAGTTTCCTTAAAAGTCTGGTGATCATTGGTTGTTTCATATCAAAAAAAGAGAAACTAAAACTTGATTGGCAGTTTTTTATATGTCAGTGGGCTGGTCAGCTGGTATCCTTCACATATGAT